TTATTTTTCACAGCAGGCTAGTAAAAAGGAAAAACAAAAAAGCACAAGCTGATTTTGGAAAGCCACATATTTTTAAAATTGTCTGGTTTAGCTAGTGCTAATCTGATGTGTTGTGCATTGCTGTGCCAGTTGTAGTATATCCGTACAGTTCACAAGGTGTATTTATGGTCATCATTGTATATTCAAAACTCAAAGGCTGTTGAAAAAAGTATAATGAAAACAGCTAACATCATTGGCTTTATTTTGCAGTTAGATATGAAAGTGAAAAAAAATGCTTTTTACACTTCCACCTCATATTTGTTGTCTTGTTCATTTATCACAACTCATGAGTACTAACACTTCCTAGAGTAATGCTCCCCATCCAGGCTTTTGTTGTAGTCTTACTCATCTTGGTAGAAAATCGTGGTAATTCACATAAGCTTAATCATTACATGTTCTGATATGTCATGGGTTAGTAATAGAAAAAAATTCTTTACCATCTCAGAAAAGTTCTTGAATCTTGCCACATCTCTAAATTGCTCTGGTACAGAAGAGGTTATAGCTTCAATTTCACCACATGACATATAGTCATATAAACTGAACTTCGCATTAATAATCAAATATGAGTACAGCCAGTAACTGCCCCCAGAGCTTAGTAGTAATGGAGAAACCATTACTACTCCAATATTGGAATAGTAAAAGTTTCTATTTAAGAGTTAGAGGTCACATGGGATGGACAGCAGCTGTAACAGTTAAAGACTGTTTTCTCAGTCATTTTACTGCACCTGAGGGGGGGGTTAAATTTTTGTTTCTTTTTGGTGCTGTTGACAGGAGATTGAATTGTACCATTTTGCTTAAGCACATTGAGACAAGTCAGTACCAAGTTTGCAGAAAAATATTGTACTTATTTCAGGAAAATGTAGCCCCCTGCTGAATTCAATCAGAGTTTGCCAGAGTGAAGACTGTATAAAAATAATCCATAAGTTTACATGTTATAGCTGTTGATGAATGGAGGATACTGAGTACAAACCTATTCACTTGAAAAAACCTTCAAAATGTGTAAATCTGCTAGACTGAGCTATGGGTTTATACAGCTTCAGATTATGACATAGGACGAAGGAAAAAAGAAATAAAGGCAATGAAATTCTTGTGGATCAAATAATAGCGTGCAAGTAAACTAAAATAACTAAATAATTTCTCAAATCTTCAGAAAGATGATTTCTTTCAAAAGAAAATTCAGAAGGGAAGAAGAGGTGGATTTTCCTGAGTTTGCAAAATTATAAACTTCTGAGGAAAGGTATAAGGAGGCATTCCACAGTCGAGTGAGAAAGAGT